AACATCTGGAGATATACATTTTGCCGTTTATCATGACCTTCTATCGTAACATGCTTCCTGAGGGTCTGTACAAAACCAGGTTGCAACAAAAGAGTAGTTCGAAACAAGGGTTGATTCCTTGGCATCATCTCTCGAATAAATTGTTCGTGGTATATCACTGATGCCATCCCAACTTCAACCACGGCACGCGTTCGCAGTGTTGGCACATATGGAAATACGATTTTCAAGATCGCGTCGACTCGTTCTCTGCTCTCCTGATCTGTTGAAAAGAAAGATCAGGCTTTACTCTCGTAATCTCAAGCAGTTTGCTATCCAGAATATGAAACTTGAAAATGACGCCTACTGATGATCGGAATCATCAGTTCCTCTACGTAAGTTGTCAATATACGTGCTGAACAGGTCAATCGAAACAGAGTGAGGTCAGCCATCGGCATGTTGTGATCAGCAACACTATGTCCGACTTCTGAGTCAAGCAGTATGACTGTCCTGCTGCAAAGACTGCCTAGATGGAATCATGAATGTCAATGGGTGCTCCCAACGATGTCTGCTATCTTCATTCGTTCAAAAATCGACATGGGGTTTCAAGGTCGTCACACTTTGCCTGCATGAATAAGGAGCTAGCTGTCCAAGATTGAAACTGAAAGCCACGCGCCTGTCATACGGTCTCCTTTAGTATCCGCAACGGGCTTTATCCAGCTCGATGAGTATTTTTGACACTAGCTCAACTTCACCGTGACTGAGGCTGCGGCATCCCTGCTCTGGTGTTTGATGTCTGCATCCATGTTATACATGATTCTCCAGCCCACGTAACCCATGCTAGGCATCAATCTGATCTTGGCGCATCGACGGTTCACAAAAAGGTTTCGTTGATAACCCGACCTCCATAAGCACCAAAATTCTGTATCTTTTCTCACCGCCTTGGACTACATGGTGGAAAGTACGCCAATCTAGATGCGCCCCATCAATTGTCCAATGCAGAACCAACCAATCAGAATTCCCTAATCGTGGTAAGATCCACTCGTACTTAAAATCTCCAAAGGCTGGCGCCATGAAGAGAAAGAGTCCTCTCCATTCTTGGACAGCTTTTCCACAAAACCCTTGAGATCAGACGAATTGACGACACTCTCAGTTCTTGACTCTGCTGCACCCTTCATTCTCTCCTATCAGACCGAGACAGGGCCAGAAAAGCATCCGTCTCGTTCGCGCTTATCCATGCAA